ATATAATATAATATAATATGCAATATTTATATCAGGATTTACTAGTGTTAAGTTGGTATTTGTGAAGTGTGATGGTGGAGGTCCTATGAAGGAAGAATAATGGCTTCAGAACAACTGAGTGAGAAGACCCAGCTGTTGGATTGGTGGAGGAATTATATGCTGTCACATCTTGCCAAGGGTATATCCTTATTACTCAGAAAAAACATGCCTTGTGTCTTGGTGGCTGTGCCTAGGGAACAAGGAAGTAATTGTTCTCTGCTATTGGTTAATCTGGAAATGTCTTTTGTTTATTCTGTTACATGATTCTCAGGTTTTGAAATCATGGGAAGAGAAAGGCTTTGTCAGTTTGTTCTGTACCATTTCTTTTTAATCAGCTGGAGAGAATGGCACCCAGGCTTTCCATTGAGCATAGATGCCAAATCGCACAAAGAGCTGCCTCGTAACATCCAGTTTGACAGCGAAAAGGGAGTTGACTTTGTTCTGAATTACACCAAGGCGTAAGTATTATGTTAATTCTGTATTATTTGGTGTTTGCCAGAATCCTGCTAGTTATTCACACCAGCATTAAGTGAAATGGCATAAACTGAAGTGGCTGTTTGTCTATTATACTTTTTACCTTTGTTGTCTGGAACTGGAAGGCAGTGTAGTCAGCTAATCCACTCCGCCTTGATCTCGCTTCATGGCAGAATATGATTTACTTAAGACAGAGGCTTGGGTAAACCTTTCTTGAAAGCCTCCAAGGAAAAATGCTCCATAATGCATCATTGTTGCACTCTTCTCATAGTTAAACTGCCTTTATGAGTATCTGATTGATTAGGCATCCTTCAGTTTCAAGAGTCTATGGTAATGTGCTCTGAATGGAGGATTTGAAACAGCGTCTAGTGTGGCTGAGAAGGCCAATACAAGAGTGACAATCCCTTCCACACAATCTGCCCCCTGTCCAGCTCCCTGATTTTGCTTGGTTCGGGACTGCCTCTTTGCCTTGGCCTGCTGAAAAAATGTCTCTTCAAAGTGGGAGAGGCTGTGATGCACCGCCTGCCTCCGGGCTGAACACTCAGATGTCAAGGTTTCCCATCTGTTGAGGTCCATTCCTAAGGCCTTCAGATCCTGCTTGCAGATGTCCTTGTATCCTAACTGTGGTCTCCCTCTGGGACTATTTCCCTACACTAATTCTCCATACAGGAGATCTTTTTGGAATCTGACCATCAGCCATTCTCATGATGAGTATTTAATTTAATATGTAAGACAAAAGTTTTCCCATAATTTGCATCACATTATCTTGCATCAAAACAGGGCTTTCAACAAGAATAGCAGAAAAGCAATAGAAATATAATAAAACAGAGCATGAAAACATCCAGAATCAAAAAATATTCAGAGATCACTGTGTCCAAACTGAACAACAGAGAAGTTCTCAATTTTTTCCACAGGGGTGTTTAAAAACAAGTATACTGTAAATAATTTTTTTTAAATGATATTTACTTGCAAGCAGAAGAAATACAGTAGGGATATGATATGACTAGGTACACTGTTGCTTGCCCCCCACCCTTATAAATTGTTTCAGATGTGAGGGGGTATATACAACATTTATCTTTAGTTCTACTTCCTGAAAGGAGGAACAATGAACAACACTATCTGCATGATATCACTGTCATGATAGTGACAGACAGAGCCTGAGGAAGGTGCATTCCTTCAGAGATCCTGAATAGAATGCCATTTAGACAGAGCATTTTGGTGGATTTACTTTTAATGTACCAAGGCAACTGCTTTTCCTGCTTGCTGCAGCATCCCAGTCTGATTAAAAAGAGCTATTGTTTTGTTCTAAAGGTCTTCCTTTCAGAAAGACTTGGGAAAGGGTTCAAATCCTGGTTTCTGTACTTTCCTTTCTAACATCAGTGTTGCATTATGTTCCCAGTTCATAAGTCTTTTGACATCAGGCTTCATGCACAGGATTATGAAAGGGTTTCTGTATGTTTAGTTTGTGTGAAATGGGTGTTTAGCATTGGTTGAAGGTGGCCTAGAGAATATAATAAATTTAGAAAAGTGCTTAAACTAAACATATTTGAGATTTGCTCTAATTACCTTCCATTTATGCCACGTGGAAGACATTCAAATGGAACAAAAAAAAAGGTGACTGAAATGGGGAAAGTATTGGAGAAAGGGCAGAAGAGGAACAGATTGCAACTACCAAGTATGAAACACTTCGTTTTTGTTCTTTAGAATGGAAAATCTCTGTGTTAACCGCTTCATGCACATGTTCCAGTCTTCCTGGAGTGACTTTGCAGATTTTGAAAAAATCTTTGTCAGAATAAGCAATACAATTTCTGGTGAGTTTCAGTGCAATCGTTAATACATGGATCAGTAAGTATTAGTTATATACAACCACATCAGCCCAAATCTCATGTATGCATAGTCAATAAAATTAGAACTGACAGTTATAACTGACGTACCTCCCTAGAAACCCTTGAGAAAAAGAGAAGTCAACTGGGATACACTTTTGTGATAATGTATGTTCAGATTTAGGGATGTGTTGGCGCTGCGGGCTAAACCGCAGAAGCCTGTGCTGCAGGGTCAGAAGACCAGCAGTCGTAAGATTGAATCCACGTGACGGAGTGAGCTCCCATCGCTTTGTCCCAGCCCCTCGCCAACCTAGCAGTTTGAAAGCATGTAAATATGAGTAGATAAATAGGTACCATCTCGGTGGGAAGGTAAAAACAGCGGTCCCTAGTCACGCTGGCCACGTGACAACGGAAACTGTCTTCGGACATGCGCTGGCTCTATGGCTTGAAAAACAGGATGAGCACCGCCCCCTAGAGTTGGACACGACTGGACTAAAAATGTCAAGGGGAACCTTTACTTTACCTTACTATGTTCAGATTTGCAGGCTTTAAATCTGCTGACACCTATCTACACCATGCTGTTTTTTAAATAAAATGCTTTAAGCAACTATATAATACTGGAAAAGATTCAATGGAAACACTTTCTATAAAATACCATGTCAGAATTAATAATTAATTTTGACTTATGGCAATTCTTTTCAGGGTTTTCTGAGTAGAGAATATTCAAAAGTGGTTTACCATTCCCTTCTTTTGGGGTTGCCCTGGGACTGTGCAGCTTGCCCAAGGCCACACAGGCTGGCTCTACTCATAGGAAGCACAGTGGGAAATTGAACTCCCAACTTCTGGCTCCACAGCTGGATACCTGATCCACTGAGCTATCCAGTCAAAATCAGAATCAAGACAGGCTAAATAATTATAGACTGGAAAACATAGGGTAAGACATTATCATAGCAGATGTTGCTTTTAAAAATAATAGATAATAATTATTAACGTATTGGATCATAGAACTTACTTGTTCACTATGCTACTAATGCAATAAGTTGTTTTTATTGATAAATCATATTTTTCCTCATGTTTTCTTTGACAGTTCTGAGATGTGTAGTGCAGAAGATAGTTTTCAATAAAATATTTATTTATTTGTTTGTTTGTTTGTTTGTTTGTTTGTTTGTTTGTTTGTTTGTTTATTTAAATTTATATGCCACCCACACTACCCAAAGGTCTCTGGGCGGCAATAGGTTTATGTTTCTTCAGGCAATACATTTATTATTAGCTGGATATCCTCAATTTTAGTATCTATTTGGTATATTGTACTGTAAAATCAAATTTTTCCATCATGGCCTTTGAATCACATGTATGGGTTTGTGCTTGCACAACACTGTGTTGGGAAGAATGCCAGAAGTGAATGGTTTACTGGAAGCAGGAAACGAGACACGTCCCCATCCGCTATACGCATGGCCCATGTCATCTCCTTGCCGTCCCCACTCAGTTACTCCCAATTGGCACTCTGGTGATACTTTCAGAAACTTTCTCAATGTTTCTCCTCAATGAATATTATTATTATTATTAGTTTTATTTATATGCCGCATTTCTCCCAACAAGGGACCCAGAGCAGCTCACAACATTGAAATTCACACAATTAGAAACACAATAAGTTAAATATTAAAAGACAAATTAAACAATATATGACTTAAAATAAAATTAAAATATTAAAACATGAAAAAGATTAACCTTATCTGCTAAAATTATCATCATCATCAAGAACAACAACTACCCCAAACACACATAGGGATGAGGGAAATCCCCAAAGAAATCAGATAATTATATTTAAAAAGTCTCAAGGACACATGCTGGCACAGGCAGGCTGCCTGGCAGCACCATAAATAATCTAAGGAGATGGGAATGGGGAAAAAATTAGAAGAAAGTAAAATATTCAAGATGGAGGCAAGTATTCAAGCAAGCAGGCAGGCAGCAATCCAGGATGCAGGGCACTATGGACTTGGCACATAGTAATTTCACAAGGAAAGAATGAAGCAAACACACCTTACTGGGTTTCTGGCCCTTTTTACGGATCCCACTCATCTCACCTGACATTTTGGCTGCTGACAACCCTCATGACTCTGTTGGATGAGAAATCGGATCCCACTCATCTCACCTGACATTTTGAATGGCTGCTGACAACCCTCACAACTCTGTTGGATGGGAAATTTCTTAGGCGATTTGACAGACAAAACGGCACCAAAAGGTAACACACAAGAGAGAACATGAAACAGGAAATTCATGTCTACCCATTTTTTGTAAACATGAATCATTTGTGTATGACTGGTTCTCTTTTGGCATTCATTGAAAGATCAGTACTTAGCATGAAAGGGAGCATGGATAGTTTGTTTAAACCAAAAATGCCCATCTGGTGCATCACAATTTTTTTGACACAAGAAATAAATATTTGTCCTTTATTATTATTATTCATTCCTACTGGCTTATGGCTATAAATCCATAGTTCTAAGCCTTGGATCCCCAGATGCTCTTAGGATAAAACTCCCAGAAGCCTTCAGCACTACCTCTGCTGGCCGGGATTTCTGGGAGTTGCAGCTCATGAACCTTTGGGAACCCAAGATTGGGAATCACTGCTGTAAATAATTTCCTTCCACTTTGGTCCATTATTTTCAATATGTTGTCGAGCTGTTCTCCCCTTCTTTCCTTTCCTTTCATCATTTTAGTTCTGTATTGTTCTTTTTGTGTGCATGGTGTTTTTATTTCATCGTCATGGGAAGCCTCTTTGCCTCAGGTTTTAGCTATTTTCATGTTCATTGCTTCATTTTCATATTCTCCTTTAGAGTATGTGATGCAGCATTGGCAAGAAGACTTCATGTTTGGATACCAGTTCTTGAACGGGTGCAATCCTGTACTGATTAAAAAATGCATAGAATTACCAAAGAAATTCCCAGTGACCACAGAAATGGTGGAATGTAGTCTGGAGAGGAATCTTACTCTGGAGGAGGAAATAAAGGTATCACAATAAATCAGGCACACATTTCATTAATACTGCATTCTGCAAAAAGACTTTTAGCCTTTCATAGAACTTGTAGAAGGAGATTAAATTATTTGAAAGAGAATTGTTTTCTCCTCCAACTGGTGATCTTGTACTTTGAACTTAAAGTGGGCATTGAATCAACCCATTTCTGCTGTACAATAGCTAACATTTGGATAAAGATGGGGAAAGCTTAATTCTAAGTCAGCAACCTTATCTACATCCAGTCATAATCCCCACTGAGTAAAGGGGATTTACTTCTAAGTCCAGTGCAAGCCTACACATATTTAAAGATGCCACATAGTTTCTCGAAGGCATAATGAAATTTAAACTATCAGTCACTTTGAAGGCAAAGTATGTTAAGTCAGACTGTGATTATACTGCATTAAACCCTGTGATTTGCATTGACATAGTTAAATTCAATCCCCCCCCCATCGGAGAATCTCATATATGAATCTTGAAGAAAATATGGGTCTTCGTGTAATACAAAACAATTCAGTTTGCATTCTAGCTGTCTTTATCATTTTGTTTGTCTCTCTGTGTGTGTTCATTTATATATTATAAAGCAAACTAAACTCATTTCCTTTCTTACAGCAAGAGAATATTTACATAGTGGATTATGAACTTCTGGATGGTATTGAAGGCAATAAGACAGACCCCTCCACAATACAGTATGTAGCCGCTCCTATCTGCTTATTGTACAAGAATTTAGAGAAGAAGATTGTCCCTATTGCAATCCAGGTAATCTGTGTTCTACCAGATAAAATAAAACTTCTATTATTACTGAAAGAATAGTTAACAATTTTGTTACTTTTTTTCAGATAAGCCAAGTTCCCAAGCCAGACAATCCTATTTTCCTCCCATCTGATGCTAAGTATGATTGGTTATTGGCCAAGATCTGGGTACGATCTTCTGATTTCCACATACACCAGACTGTTACTCATCTCCTTAGGACTCACTTGGTTTCAGAAGTGTTTGGAGTGGCCCTGTTCCGGCAGTTGCCTGCTGTCCACCCTCTCTTTAAGGTGGGTGATTTTGCTAGTAGGATGGTTTAACCATTAAAAGTGGTTGTATTGCTCTTGCCATATTTGTTTGTGTTCCATTAGAACTGTGCAAATATTATGATTTTCTGCTACATATTTTCCTAATAGAAATAATATGTGACATTGTAGAGGTGAGTGGCCATTTGCATTTTTAAGACCAATGAGTCAAACTGACTTCTACTGCTGTGAGACTTGGAAATTTCTATGTTCTTCACATAAAGCGAAATCAAAGCTTATGTTTTTTTCACATAAAGCAAGATACGGCAGGGAGAAACTGTAGTGAAGACTGTTGCAGTTTTAGAAAATTCTGAGAGAATGACTGAAATATAGTAAGTGAATCTCTTTATTAAAAACTTCAAAAAATTTTCCCTCATTTATATCGATCATTTAAATATGGTCAAGGTTACAGTATTGTCATGTGCCAATGAGAGTCTCTTCCTAAAACAAAGATGACCACCAAAGGTCTAATAGAGCTTGCAGGTTGAGGAAAGGACAAGGAAGCTACATCTGTGCACCCAGAGAGGAGTCCAGTTGAGCTGGATAATACAGACAGAGGGATTCTTGTACTGTATCTATAAAGAGGATTCCTTTCTCCAAGCACAGGGGAGAAATGCATCAAAAAGGAAGCGGATGTCTGTGTGAGAGAGATGTTCACTTATTCATCCCCTAATGCGATTTATGCCGTTTTCTGCCAGCAGTGTCCTTTTGCTTTCTACAAACAGGACAATCTCTTTACTCAAACTGGACAACAGGAATGGCAATATAGAACGTCAACTTCTTGGGACACTCTGTTATGGATCTCAGTGTGGCTATTGGAAAAAAAATGATTACAAAGGGAGGCTATAATGGGAAATAGCAGAAATTGGCTACTTAAATAAATTCTAATGCATCTCTAAGGACCTAAATAGAGATTAAGGCTTCTTTGCGTACTACATATATTAATAACTCAGCTTTCTGTAATATATGAAGTCGTTGTCTCACTTGGAAGACTCTGATGCATATCTCATAAACAACTCTTAGCATTCCTGTGACAACCAAGTCACTCTGGCTAGGGCCTATTAATTAAAAGCATGATAGTCCCATTCCTCTGCTGCCAAATGATTGTCACTTTTATGTATCCTCACCCGGACGTAACTTCCACCACTATGCAGATAAATATACGAGACATGTATTTGCATTCCTTATTCCTGAAGAAGTGGATTTTGATTCATGAAAACTTGCACTGAAATGTATAATTTTTCTTCCTCTTGCTTTCATTTTTAAATTCCCCTTTATTTTTGCTGACATACTAAAAATTGCATGGGGTGAACAATCGGGGGTGTGGGAACAAGTGATTCGGGGGTGAAGGAAAAGTTATTAGGCAGGCACCAGCTTTTTCGGCAAGCACGGTGCTGTTTTTTTTTTAAAATTCCTGCTATCTGGTATAGCATGGTATCAGATAGCAGAAATTTTTTAAGAAGTGGATGGGGTGTTCGATGTGGAATCGATTCCACATCCACTGCAAAATAAATTAATCTCTTGCAGGGGAGCAGAAAAACTTGCACAGTACTCCACACATGCATATATCTCACGTGTACTCTAAAATTTTTATATAAAGCAAAACCCCATTAAACATGTCTGGCATCATGTTGGAAGGTATTCCCTGTAAGTGGCAAAGGAAGAGGATGGACTTGTACAGTCCATTTGAGGAGAGGAGAAGGAGAAAGAAAGAAAATAAATTTAGCACAGTAACTAAAAGAAATATACTGCTTTTCTGGCACATTTGAATTGTTTTTGAGCAGTTTTAATTAGGAATTTGTTATTTATTTATTTCACTTAATTTTTATCCTGCCTCTCTTAAGGGAACCCAAGGCAACTAAAATGCATGAGATAAGAGTACATGAACAAACAAATATATATGGTGGACTTGTAACCGATGCCATGCAGATATCATGGTTCTACTGTACTTGACATGAATTTGGGAGATATTGTGCAGGATGGCGATTAATCAATCACAAGTGACATCCTTGTAACCATGACAATAAGTTTATGGAGTGAACTCTGTGCATTCT